GGAAATGCAAAGTTCTTGGGAGTCACCACGTACCACTTTGTGTGTGCAGCCAGTTTGAGCGCACTTGCTCCGAAACAGATCCCCGTAGCATAGAGGTGATGAGCAGATGTAGCAGTTAGTCAAAGTGGTAGTAGATAGATCTTGCTGGCCTGTGTGTGAAAAGCCAACTTTCATTAGAATCTCCAGCCGCACCCCCAACAAAGCCCCCCAGGCGATTTTTTGCCCGCCGGCTCGGGCCGAAATTGGCGGCGGACCCACGCCAAACCCGGCGCGCTGGGGGCGCTTTGGGGCGCTGGCCGAATCATTTTTGGCGCGAAAATCGGCGGGCCTTCCTTGGCAGCGACTCGGCTCTTCTCGTCGCTTCGTCGTCCTCATCGCCTCGGTTTCCACGGGGGAATCAATGCCAAAGCTGCCGCGAGCTACTGCGCCGGTCAGCCTCCTTCATTGATGTCTCACGGGCGGCGCAGTGAAGACGGGGCGACGCGCGTCCCTCGCCCGCCACGCGGGCGCCGCCTATATAAGTCGCCCCCTCCCGCACCGGTGAGCCACGCCCACACCTCGCTCTCCACCGCCGACGCCCCCGTTCCTCCCTCTCTTCTCGCCATTTCCAGTTCACCCAATGGCCGAGCGCTACCCAGGCGATGGCGCGGCAGCGAACGGCTTCGGCCGCCGCCACCTTCACGAGGATGAAGACCGACTTCTCTATGAGGCCGGGTACCCGGTCTCGCCTGACGTGCGGGTGCCCTGGGCGTGGAGGATCAGCGCCGGCGGGGTCCCGGTGCCACCACCGCCCACTGGGGTGGCCAGGCGTTGGAGATGCCCCATATCCGTGCCTCTCTGCCGCTGGCGGCGAGAGAAGGGCCGAGGTACACCCCCGACAGCCCGCTGTGGGAATCATACTTCCGCCGTCGCCACGCCGAGCAGCTCGAGGCCACCAACGGCATCGTGCCCTCCAGGAAGCACAACGCCGATGGGTGCAACCGATGGTGGGGCGTGCACGGCCGCACGCTGGAGTCCGTCCTCGAGTACATCGAGGGCGGCAACACGCCGAGGTTGGAGTACCCCGCTCCCCCCATCGAGGGCCCCTCACCGTAGCTTCAGGGCTGCGGGCGGCGAGGAACGGCGAGGTCCACGGCGGGTCTAGTAGTGTCTTTTTTTTCTTCTTTGTAAAATATTTTATATATGTTATGAACTCGCCGAAGTTTGGTTAAATTTGCGCCTTGTTTGTGCGAATGTGGGGCCGGATTTTGTTTTTCAAAAAAAAAAACATGGGCGCGGCGACTGGGGAGCATCACGCCTCCAACACGCGGTTAGCGTCGGTACGCCTTCAGGCGGCGATCTTTAGCGCCTTCTGGGGGGCCAACTGCTGGAGATGCTCTAAAGTGATGGCAAAGGTGAAACAAGTTGATGATGGAAAGAGCAGAGGACCTAAGATAAGATATTGCCATAACAAGTAAAATTAAACAGGGTAGAGCGTGCAATATTGGACAGGGCCTACTAGGTGTAGTTTCTGTGATCGGGGTGAAACAATTAAATATCTTTTTTTTGATTGCCCACTAGCTAGAATTCTTTGGACGACTATCCATATTGCTTTCAATATTCCTCCACCGAATTCGGTTAACATGTTATTTGGAACATGGCTAAACAGGGTAGAGTCCGGGTTAGCAAGACAAATTCGCGTGGGGGTGTGCGCCTTAGTGTGGGCGCTTTGGAATTGCAGAAATGATCTGATATTTAACAGAACAACAAACATTCATGTTTTGCAGGTTATCTTCAGAGCTACGGCGCTAATCCGTTCCTGGTCGCTACTCACTCCGACGGAGGCCAGGGAGCGTTTGGTTACTGGATCTATCCGATGGGAGACGGTAGCTCGGGATATCTTCAACCGGTTTGGATGACGGTCATGTAATAGGATAGTCAATTAGTTTACCTGTCTATTTTCGAGCCAACCGGTTGTGGTTTATCTTTGTTGGCTAGCTTGTGTATCTAGCCTTTTGGTTCTGCGTGAGCCGTTATCTCTTTTTTCCTGTTATTGCGGAGACTTTGAGACATTGTTGAACCTATTTATTAATAAAATGGCCGTATGCATCATGCTGATGCAGAGGCCGGGGATCACCCATTTTCGAAAAAAAACATGTAAAATTAAACAGTAGCATTTCGAAAGGGGAAACATCAAAATATGATGGTTGAATTAAATCTTTATAAACAACCTTATAGCAGAAATGAGGCAAATACTTGATGATTATTTCATATGGAGTATCTTGCATACAGGTAAAACTATCTGATTGGACAAGAAGGAGAGGTACCGACCGTGCGAACAGCAAACGCAGGAGCATCATTTCTTCTTCAGAGAGGACAGCATTTCGTTGTGGGGATGATTTGGACCGGCTATTTGCACCCCGCAATTACTGCAAAACCAGGACGGTCACAGCGAAAACGCTTGGAGTGTTCCCAGTAAGGGCTGTGAAAACTAGGTTAAGCGTATGCTGGCGCAGCAGGGACGCGTACGTGTTAAATAGGCACAGGAGATTACAAGCGTAGGAGTTAGAAGAGGTTAGGATCGATCTCTTATCTACAGGATAGCTACAACGACATATGAGATCGATCCTACCGGCCCCAACTTCCTAACGTGATACACACGCACGCATACAACGTGATATACGCGGTTTATACGTACACCGCGTATATATATACACAGAATACAATGTTTAACCCTCCCCCTCAATCACAACTATCTAAGTGCCCCGCAAAAAAATAAAAATCACAACTATCTAAGTTGAGATTGCGCCTGAATGCCTTCAGCTGTTGCAAAGTAAGTGGCTTAGTGAATCCGTGTGCAACTTGATCACCAGTGGGTATAAACCTTATATTCAACCA